GGCAAGTAAGATAAGTTCTAAAAATTTTGAACTCATGTAAAAAAAAAGAAAAAAAAAAGAAGTGAAAGGTGAAAAGTCATGTTTTGAGGAAAAGAAAGATGTCTTTAAAAAAAAATTGATCATTGGTTTGATCACCTTTAAAGATATTTTTTGACCTATTTATCCTTTCTTTCAAAATCTTAAATCATGGCCTATGTTACGTGCTTCAAAAAGCTCATTTTGATCATGTGTGTAAACTTAAGTTTGAAGCTTGTTCCTTAGGAAATCATTATATTTGATTTTAAATGAATTTTGAATACTCAAATGCATGATGAAATAATTAAAAAAAAAAAGAAAAAAGGAAAGAAAAGAATGAACTTTTGGGCAAAAACCTAAAAGGGCAATCCAGAACAAGATTGAAGAAAACAATTTATGACTTTTCATATAGCACCAATAAGACATTTTGAAGGGACATTGGAAACTTTTTCTTTAAAACCCTTAGGATATCAATCTCACTATAAAGATTCTCTTTAAAATTTAGACCTTATTCATCTTTCAAATTTGAAATTTTAAGCCTGCCATAGTTGATCTTGATATTTATTAAACTACTACATATTAAGAACTGAAATGAGTGCCAAAATAGATTGCACTTTAAAAGATGATTTTCATTTGTGAGCTCAGATGAAAAGATGTTTTTTTTCTCATTCAATGGTCAAATTCTTTTAAAAATTAAGATCTTTATTGATGTGCCAATCCATTGTATCCTTTTGGAAAGACCAAGTTGTGATTCATCATCCTCATTTTAGGCAACAACCACTGATTTTTAAGAGATTTAATCACATGTGGAAGAGAGTTATATGGGGTAATTTCCATTGTTATTTTTGGGAAGTTTTGAAAAATGATTCAAAATGTACTAAATCTTAATGCTCGTGGTGGGAGATAAGTGAATGCTATGATGAAAAAGACTTTTCAATGGCAAAAAAAATGCCAAATGCAAGAGAACGATAATGAAACAATTCACTAGACAAGAAGAATGGTTTTCAAGAATGAAAATGTTGAGAATGTTTACTTTAGTGCATGAAAGAACTTGTCAACCGAATCAGAAGCTATGTCATGGAAAGATGGAAGGAAAAAAAGTTTTAAGAATCCTATTACCACATTTAAGAACATTTGGTATAGAATTCATTTATTGCATTCATTGCATTTCATGCATTGTATGAAACTCATTCATTTAATATGTGGCATTCATATTTTTCAGGGAAAAGGGATGTTAACTGAAATTTTTTATAAAAAGAAAACTCTGATCGAATATGTTTTTACTTCAAGGTATATTTGTTAAAACTTTTGAGTATCAATCTTCAAAGCTTCTAACTAATTCCTTTTAAAACCTCCGAGTATATCTTCAAAATTGTTAAACTCTTTTTAAAGTCCTTTAGGCAAAATCTATAAAACCTTTGGGCATGATCTTTAAAACATCCATATATCCATTTTTTAAAAGTGGTTGAACATTTGTTTTAAAAAAGCTTTTTCAAAGTTTGATTTATAAGACCTCTAGGTGTAATCTCCAAGTCCTTCAAGCAAGATTCATAAATCTTCTAAGCTAAATCTATTTTAAAGTCGAGATTTGTAAAACCTTCGGGCATTCTAGATAAGATTCGTAAGTTTTTCGAGTTGAATCTGTTTTAGAGTTGATATTTGTAAGACCTCCGAATGTAATCTTCAAGTCTTTCAGGCAAGATTGGTAAGTCTTTCGAGCTAAATTTGTTCTAGAGTCAAGATTTGTAAGACTTCTTGATGTAATCTCTAAGTCTTTAGACAGATCTATAAAACCTTCGAGTACCATCTTTTAAAATCTTTAGGTATTTTTTTTAAAGGAGCATTTTTCAATGTTAGGAATGATTTGTAAGACCTCCGGGCATAATCACTTAGTTTTTTGGACTCGATCTATAAGATATCTAAGCATGATCATCCAAACATTCAAGTGTCATCCTTAATTTTTTTTAAAATTGTGTGTCTGCTTATTGAATGAATCCTTAATTTTTAATAGTGGGGTACTTTTGCTTTCGATGAGCCTTTCAAAAAAAAAAAAACAAAACAAAAAAAAAGTTGAATAATTTGAACCTGAACGTGATGGGTATTTATGTCTTTGCATAATTTCTGTTGCACAAAAACTACATAAAGAAAAGTAGCTGTAAACACCGCTTTAGTTTCGGATCTAACTCAATTGAACCCAATTTAATTTCAAGCCCAAAAACTTAAATCGGTTGAGTTCAGACTCTGTTCAAGCCCAATGTAGGTTTTTAATTTATTTCTTTAATTACTTCATGTTTTTACTTTATTTTGTATTTATCCTATTTACTTATTCATTTTATTTTATTTTTAATTCAAATCTTTAAGACATTATCTTTAAAAGGAAAGGAATCAAACTTGAAAAAGTTTTAGAAAGATTGTAAATTTAAGATTCAAGGTGAAATTTGAAAAAAATCTAGGGGTTGAAGATCAAAAAATTAAAAGAAAATCAAGAATTAAAAGTAGAATCAAAATCGATGCATTGAAGACTTGATTTTCCTCTTTATGAGAACCCTGAATTTTTAGTTGAATTTGATAATATAAAAAACGAGGACAAGCAAGAAGCCAACCTAGAAAGCTAATCATTTCCCCAAGCAATAAAAAAAAAAACACAAAATCAAGAAAACATGAGGCAAAAAAGACCATCTAGAAGTCCACTTGCTTCAAACTTACCAAACCACTTTGCTAGGAAATTTTAAAAATGCCATGTAACAGTATGGAAGACAAAATATTGAAATAGTTGACCAAAAATTGAATCAATTAGGCCTTGATACTTACCAACCTAGACTTGGAATAGGCTTGGAGTTTGCCATAGAATAATTATAAGAATGCTTCCACCCGTTAAGGTAATTTTTATATTTTATTTATTTGTATATTTATTCATTTATTTTATTTTTAAATTTTTTATGTATGTTTAAAATAAAATTTAAAAGATTGTGAGTTAAAAATGATAATGAATTTTTTTTTAAATAAATTCATGAGTGATACCAAATTAGTGAAAATTTTTCATTGGTTTAAAATTTTTCATGAATTCTACCAAATTATTGGAGAATTTCATAATATAATTTTTTTTATAAAATAAAAAATTTCAATATTGTCAAACTATTGGAGGGTTTAAATTTCTAAATTAAGTTTTACTAAACTATTAGATGACTTAATGAATATTAAAAAGAAATAAAATTTTTAATCCTACTTAGAGGATTTAAATCTTGAGTTGAATCTTACTAAACTATTAAAAGATTTAATAGTTTTTTTTCTTAAAACAAAGCTATAAATAAATTTTCAAATAAAAATCTCACAAAACTATTGGAGGATATACATCGAAATAAAATCTTACCAAACTATTGGAGGATTTTATGGTTTGTTTTCTTGAATATATATTAATGAATGGATTTTTTAAAAAAATTTCTTAAAATAAATTCTCCAAATGATTTTTCAAATAAAATCTTATCAAATTATTAGGAGATTTGCATTGAAGTAAAATCTTACCAAACTATTAGAAGATTTTACTGATTGCTTCCTAAATAAAATATATTAATGAATCCGACAATAAAGCTTTTTTAGAGTGGGATATTAGTCTTCGTGAATAGTTTTGAAGTAAAAAAATTATTTTAAATTGTTATCAAATTATTAAAGTAATTTTAAAATCACTTTTCAATAACTAAATTATTTGATAAAATTAAAAAGATGTTTAAGATTTAGATAACTTGAAGTCAAATTGATAATATATTTTAGATAAGCATTGTGAGGATATTATAATTTATTTCACGGATAACTGCTATCTCGAACCTAAATCTAGTTATGTAAATTAAAATATACCATTTAAAACATCTAAGTCTAAGCTTGGGCAAATTTTCTAGTTGTTATTAACTTTTCACTCCACCTACCAGCCATCTTACTAGAGGGCCTTTTAGGGAAAATGAGATACTATGGAACTGGTAAATAATTGAATAGAAAGTGAAAGAGAAATGCAATTTGGACATATTTGGCCCCCTGATCTTTGCCCGTCAAAAAGGATTTCAAGTAAAAGTTTTTGGGCTATGGTTATAGTTAAACCGTGAGATTTCCTGGCAGGCACGTGGCTTAAAGTTGATTAGTCTAATTAAATTAATGAAAGTTGAAAGCATTTTGTTGATCTTATTATCTTGGATGAGAAATTGACTTGTTTTGAACCAAACATGCACGGATTGATAATCAGTGAGAAATTGCTTCCCATTCGTAAAACATCTTTTTTTGTTCGAAATGAGGAGAGCATGTCTGTCATACTTTTCCACAGCAGAAACGAAGACCACTTGGAAGGTTTTCTTTATCTCACGAAATGTCCTACCAAAGCGTCAATTGTAAGCTTTTCAAGCAGGGAATGTGTCATTAGGTAGAAGAACATTACAGTAGGATTGAATCTATAGCATAACAAGTTGACAAATTAACCGAGACTGTGTGTTTAAATATAAATAAAATCCCAGATTTCTTGTAGCCAAAAAGTTTACATATATTATATAACATTTTTCAAATGGATTATAATTAAAACCCTTCTCACTTCTCTACATGTACGTAGTTTCCATAAAAAGAAATTTCATCGACTTTTTCTTTCCATCCGAGGCCCACTTTAAACACTTGAATCTTCTTCCACCGTACCCACAGGATGACAATGTGATTAAGGGCTACGTAAGTTTGATAATGGTTTTCGTTTTCAATAATCTTAATATTAAAAATAACAAAAAAAAATATGACTTTTATGGTTAAAAATTCAGTTTGTAAATTCAAATGAAAAAACTAATATTTTTAGTATGATTAAAATGATTTTATTATCTTTATATCTCTAAAATTGTGTTACTTTATTCATATTTTTGAATATTTTAAATTATCATAGTAATTTTAAACATTTTAATTCGCCATAATAAATCGATTCTATTATACTTATTATTTCTCATCACACCTTTTTTATTAATTCAATTTTTATTTTCAATCCCAACAACAATATTAAACTAAATTAGTTTAATTAATTTGATGCCGCAATGGGATAAGGATAAGGAAAGCATACGCTCTGTGAAAGCTTTGTTGTTGATTTTGATTTTGTCAGAATCTCGTTAAGAAATAAACAGGCTGCTCTTTACATGAAGCTACGTTCAATTTGGTGCCAAAGCATCAAAATATTTCTTAGACCTTCAAGTGGAAGATGTTGACAGACGCCAGCCTGCAAGCCTGTTACCCTGGCCATTGCTGATTAGGTCTAACCAACTCTGATATTTCCGTGGAAGAAACCACCGCTCCAAAGTCCAAACTACATCGGGTATTAAACTAGTTTCTCTTTATTTTTCTTTTTATCACCCCTCTACATTAATTATTTTTGAGGCCAAGCTTTATAAAAATAATAATAATAATTAAGAATACTTTAATTATCTACTAATAAGGATTCAGTCCAAGGCTGAGCTAAATAATCCGAAATTCAAAAAAGAGTGACAATCACTGACATTTTCTGCTTTTGGAACTTCATAAGAACCTAATATTTAATCCAACAACTAATTTCATGAAAATGAACATCCTAACACAAATAATAAGCATCTCATTAAAGTCGATTCTTTTGGGAAAATTGAATGACAAAACAAATTAATCACAGCTAGACCTCTAGTTTCACTTTAAGTCAAAAAATTGTACATGAAATATAGCAAATTACAAGCTTTAATGCCAACTAGCTAGCACCTGAATCAATGAGTGAATATGAAAGTAAAAGTGAAAAAGCTATACCTTATCTACCAACCCAACATACTCCTTGATTCTTAAGTCCAGGACCCTCCATTTGCTTTGCAGTTAACAAAGCGAGCAATACGCTTCTCATCAAATTCTGGCAACTCCTAAAATTTGATCCTTGACTTGAATAATGAAATGATAGTCTAGAGGAACTGCTATCCAAGGGCAAAGAACAAGATACGACTGGGAATAGTTCTACGCCCCTCAGAATATGTACGAGTTAAAAGATTAACCCTCTAAAAAGGGAAAATGTACAACATTTTCCTCTAAGGTTAACCACGATAAAATAAAATGATTGACAATCACACAACTGCAGATGCAGTCCGGCGAAGATCTACCCCATTCTCAAATTTGCTGCTGGTTGGCCTGCCTTTAAAGCTGCCATACCTTTCCCGCCTTGGCAGAAAAAGAGAAAGGAGCATTTGCTCCAACCCCTGCACTGTGTACTTTGCATACTTACTGGAACTTGCATCTTGCTCTACCAATGGCCCATAATTTTGCATAAAGCTTCGATAGACAGGCAGCATGGTCTGCACTATTTGTTGGCATGTCTTCTCCCTCAAATCTCTTTCTGATATAACCCAACCCGTTTGCTTCTTATACATCTTATCAAAAGCTTCATTAAAAGTCTTCAGCCTTTTCTTTACAAGATCACGAGCAGTGCCACGACCACCTGAGAATAGAATTAAACCTTCCCGGCTTAAATAAGCAGGGAGTTTTCCCCAGCTCTCCCTTAAGAAGACAGTGGAATAATACTCCTTGTACTGTTCATGTTCTCTCAACCAAGAATCACCCATGAGCTCTCCAAGTGTTGTCCCCTTTAAGTGTTGGTATAGATGCCAGTGATTGTTCATGGCAAAAAGACAGGACAGGGTAGCATCATCATATGCCTTCACCCATGTTTCCAAATTTAAATCAACAGCCTTAATTATTTTCAAAACCTCATTGACAAGAATCCTCTCTTGGAATTTTTCATGCTTCCAACTTCGGTGAATGACCAGAACTTGGGTCAGGATTGGTTTATAATCATCACTAAGAAGTTTATTACAGTAATCAGTTATAAAACTCACCAATCTTGGTATAGTCCCATCCTGAGGAGGCAAACTCTGCCTCTGTAATTCCACCTGAACAAAGAGTTCCCAGAAAATTTCAGCAGCACCATCAATCACCCTCCTGATGAGATCTCTTGTCAGGTTTTGGATCTCAATACAAGCTGCTCCCCCAAAGAGCCGGTTGAAATCCACTCTCAATTTGTTCAAAGATGCAAATATATCCAATAACTTCAGAAGCTTAATAGGATCTTTCTTACTTTCTGTAACAGTCTTCCCAAACTGAAGAAAAGCAAGAATACCAGCTTGTGCAGCTATTTTTGCAAAGCATCCCATCCAAACATCCAGACCAATCCTCTCAAAAACATCATTACAAAGTTTGAACTCTGCCTCAAACAAATGCTTTACTGCAAACTCCAAATGTTTTCCCCACTGCCCTATATACACCTCTATGCTCTGTACATCATTAAATTCTGAGACTGAGATCTCAAGATAATCCAAATCTAGTGCCTGCAAACTAGCTCTGACATTTGAACTACGAACTTCAACATAGATCGTAATGCACTTCTCAAGTCTATTATTAGCAATCAGCCTACCAAGAATTGCTTGCAACTTCTGAATAATGGTCACAGGTAAAGGGGATGGTGCAATGCGTGCTTGTTCGCCTAGTGATGGAGATGACATAGGAAGTGGCAGACTATGCTCCATTAATAATCGTCTGAACTCGTTTTCCAGTTTATCTAATGCAGCATCTAAAAGCCCACCATCAAGACGTATTTTTTCCCCATCATTTTGCAAGACCCTTAGGCCCTTGAGTGACTTCTTCAAATTCAACAAGTACCGTCCATCAGCAACTCTGTTATCCTCCAAATACTCAATTATATCTTCCAACCATTGAATTGCCAATCCGCAATTATCACCCAGAAACCTTAATGCCTCTTCAAGGCGTTTCAGCACCGATAAATACCCAGGAAGATCATTCCTAGGATCTGATAGTAGAGACTTCTCAAGTCCATGAACGGCATCAAAAACCTTAAGCACTGCTGCAGCAGGGCCCACGGCTCGGTTAATGTGGCCCCCAACAGCAGCAAGAGCATCCTTGTCAGCACGAATTGGGCGGACAGCAGCTTCTAAAGAAGGCAATCTTTGGTTGATCTCCTCTAATCTTGGTCCAGCCTTTTCAAGAGCCAATCCTATGGTTTTTGATTTCACTAAGCAAAGCTTTAGTGACTTTTTTGCAGCTATCAAATTATCAAAACAATTATTGTTCTTCAAATTATTACCAATTGCAGATTGGTCCATTTTAATACCCAAAGAAAAATCCTAATCAAAACCCTAACCCGGAAAATCCAAGCTTGGAACTACGAATATGAGTGAACAGAGACTACAACTTTTAAAGATCTACAAGAAGAACCAAAATGGGTTTTTCCCTGTTTACTTTTTATGAATGATCTTATCAATTTCCCTTGGATTCATTGAAGAAATAATTGAAATGAAATCAACCTGGACTCATGTCAGAACAATCCCTCATTTCTTTTTCTTTTATTCTTCACCAAAATGTACGGAATTGACAACTAACCTGATAGGTATTCAGACAGAGCAAAAACAAAATTAAAAAAAAAAAACTCACTCGGAAACGGAGAAGAGTAGTAGTGGGTTGATAGAGGTGAGTTGAACCGGCTAGTTGAGCTGGAAGGAGAGAGTTGGAGCAGAATCTAAATCGGTGAGTTATGGATTCAACGAGAGAGACAGAGAGAAACCCATGCAAACTGTGAATGAGCGAGAATGGAAGAGAAAACTTACACAACTCCTTTTGTATTGTCCTAAGGTCCTGCCAAAGTGCTCGACTGTAAGGCACCTGCTTTTCAAGAAAGCTCATCCCATTAATTTAGTTAATTTCATATAGAAATTGTTTAAACTTGAATTAATGGTTATGTTATTTTTAATAATCAAATCAAATTTATTAAATTTTAAAATTTAAATGATCAAATTTAATTTGTTTAATTTATTAACTAATCAAATAATAAAATATATTTAAGTTAAATTAAATTTTATATTTTACATTTAAATTTTAAATTTTATATTTAAAATAAATTTAACAAAATATTTAAATATTAAATTATTAAATCAAAAACTTTAATGATTTATAAAATAAAACAATCTACTTCAATTTTTTAAAAATTTATCGTTAATTTTTATATTTTAATTAATTCAATTATTAAACTGAATTAATAAAAATTTAAAAAATAGTTTTTTTAAATATATCAAATTTTAATTTAATAATACAGTGATTAATTGAATTAAATTAATTAAATTATTAATTCAATTAAAATAAAAATATGAAAACTCGTAAACTTTTTATCCCTTAAAATATATTTTGCTCCTCATAGTGGGTGCTAACATAATTTCATTTATTTATGTAACTTTCTTTTAATTGTATCGTACTGTTTTTCCGTAGATGTTTGATTGGTTGATATATTCTTATGTCGAGTTTAGAATGCATCGTACCCCGATTATTATGAAAAATAGTACCCACAACAGATTTTAAATCTTACCGAAAGTACGGTGTGTATTAATTTTGATCGATTGTTCATTGGATTTTGAAGCTCCAATCTATCACCATCACAGCTTTTTTTTTTTTTTAATTTCATTTTTTCCTTTAACTTAACAAATTTTAACTTTTTTATTTTAATTTTTATTTAAAAACTATAAAATAATTTTGTTAATTTAAGATAAAAATAAATTTTATTATTATATAGTAAATTAATTAATAAATAAATTTTATTATTATGTAATTAATTAATAAATAATTTTTAATTATTTATTAATAAAATTATTATTTGATTTTAAAACAATTTAATAATTATTTATTAATTTTATAAATATTAAATAATTTAATTTTTTATTACATATATTCTTTAGTCAATGTCTTTAATCATAATTTTTTTCACTATAATTCATTTTAACATTATCACTTTTTCATGTAAATGTATGTTTCATCATTAATTTTAAGTTTATCATTATAATAATTAATCTCATTTTTTATTATTATTTTTAATTTCATTAAAATCAATTTTATCATCTATCCAAATAAATCTTTAGTTTGAAAGGAATATTAAAAAAACTGTTAATAGTATTTCTTACTAATGAATTATGATTGAGATAAAATAAATTTATATTATTTTTTAAAGAGAAAAAGTTTTTTCTTTCATTTTTGTTGGTTGGAAAGCTAAAGTTTAGAAATAATTCCTTTTGAGGGAAATATAAAAAGAATTTTGCACTTTTTTTTGGGCCTGATCAAGAATTTTCTCTTTACATTAAGAGAAGGATTTATACCTTTTTTTTTTTTTTTTTTTTTTGGGAAGGTGGCTTTCATGCAGAAAACTTGTAGTGACTTTTTCTTTTCTGTGCATTGATGTTTGAACTTTGAACTTTGACTAAAGAGATAATAACAGTTTTTTTTTTTTTTAGATCAGATTTCCTCTTCATTTTCTATTTTTTTGGACTACACTAATTTATTTCTGTTGTTTTTCTTTAAGTATCTTTTAATTTTATTTACAAAAAAAAAAACATTAGATGAACATAAAGATATTCATAAATTCATTTGAAGATAGGGTATAAATGGATAGCTATTCTTTACTACTAAGCCACTATATATTTATAAAAACAGCTAGCGCTAGCGCTGAATTGTCGCAAACATCACGTAGAAACATTTGCTAACAAAGATAGTTTATCTATTATAAAATTATTACAAAAAGAAAGAAAAACGTATACGAATATACCAATTACTTTTAATTTCCCAATTCCCAAGGAAAATAGTAGTAGTTTAAAATGTTGTCAGGATTCTATTTTTCTTTTCTCCGCATGGATATTCCAAGTAGTACTGCAACTACAACTTATACAATTTGCATGGACAGTTTGTTTTCAATAAGCTCCAATTTGTCACTAGTTTCCACTTTTACTTGCTCATGCTCTAATTATTTCATTGGCGAATTAATAAGAGATTCGAGCGGTACCAGTCCAAAATTGAGGTTGTTGACAGCCGCACTTCCCTCACTAGCCCTGGCATTAACTAAACCTACCTTCATCCAACGCAATGATTTCTCAAAAGCTCAAATGGCTAAACAGGCCATGCCCTAATCAAGTTGCACACCATAAACACGCCAATCAGCCCCAAAGCATGCAATTTAGGCTTCAAATTCATCACCTAGATTATTTTCAAATTATTCACAGTTTAAGGATCAAATCCTTGTTACTGGACCGTTACCATTCACACCCTTTCCTTCACCATTAAAGGAGTAGCTGAATTGACCGGTACTCAAGCGCCGGAATTTTTTTTTATAAAAAATGTTAAATAAAATAATATTATAGAGCTAGTGAAACTTTGATTTAATAAAAATAAAGAGGTCTTAGAATATTCTTGAGTGTATGAGTTTGATTTAATTTTATATTATAATTATTTAGTTATTGTTAATAAATACAAGGCTTTAGAATACATAAGTAATGTGTATTTTATTGTAGAACTTGTAATCTTCTTGTGGTCTTTTTTTTTTTTTTTTTTTGCAAATTAAGTAGAATAGATGGAACTTTCAATCACGATCGAAAACGGTTTCAAGACGTCTTGCTAATGTTATTATCCTTAAAGCTTTTTCCACCTCTACCAATAATGGTATGCAAAGGAGGAATTGTATCAAATAACTTCTAAAATATAATGAAGCTTATGTTTGATTTATTTTACACTAAAAACCCCAAACCACTAAACACCTTTTAATGAAAAATGAAAATATCATGTCTTTAAAAAGGTTTCTAAGGCGAACAATATCAAAGAAACAAATATTTATTTTGAGAGAAATGGGAGAAAAGATAATAAGAAAAGAATTTCTAAATATATCGACTGAACTCACAATAGTAATTATTTATAGAGATTTAATTTTAAGGTTGTGACTCTTTGATTGTATTATTTTAATAAAAAAATAACTTCTTTTATTGGAAAGTTATCTTTCTAAATAATTAAGGATAAAGTGGTTTATTAAACTTTTCAATTCAAGAGAAATCATTTTTCATGTTTCAAGAAATCATAATTTTCAATAGAGTTGTCAACTTCACCAAAAAGATAGTCAGCTGCCCTTTTGTATTTTTAATTTCAAAAATAATATTTGAAGCAAGGCAGATGAATCCTTATTAGAGTAATCAACTCCTTTCAAATTACAATTTGCATTTGACATTGAGTAGTCTACTATTCCATATAGAAGTTGACTCATTTCAATTTCTAGAACAATTCTAACTCTAGTCTCCTATGGGTCAGTCGACTTCTCTCGTATTAACAATCGACTACTATAATCTCTAACTATTTTTCAAAAGACTATCAATCAGTAATAATTGATTTTGTTAGGGTTTGGAATCAATTTCACTCATATACAACTATAGCAATCGATTGCTCTAGGCTAGCAATCAACTACTATTTTATACAGAATCTATGTTTAACTTCTAGTTGTCAAAACAATCGATTCCATGCCAATGGCAGCCGATTGCTCTTCCTAAATACCTAAGGCAATCGACTACTCTTCTTAAAAGCCTAAGGTAGTCGATTGCCTATATAATCAATCTTCTTGATTTGATTCTCTTTAAATCTAGAATTGTATCTTTGATTTTGGAACTTACCTTAAAATATTTAATAACTAAATATGGTTTCTCTTTTATTAAACTTAATCAAATTATTTTCATTTTTTAAAAATATTTATAACACTCCTTTACCTATTTTCAAAATAAGGCAAGTTCCAATATTTTCTGAAAATCTCATGCATTTGTAAATATATCATATAATATGATTTAAATCTTCGTTTAAGTGATATAATGTTGTTGATCTAGTCAAATTGAATGATAGATCTTAGATCTTTGAATCAACCAATTTATATGATTATCATGCACTAAATCACACATAAGATTTCAATATTTCACTAAAGTGTCATTTAGCTATGCTTTGACACAATGGTTGTATCTGTTGTATATTTATGAGTGTTTTCATAATCAAGCCTTTACTCCTAAAAGTGACATCATTTTCAATCATATAAGTAAACTCTATCAAGAATGCAACCATATAAGCATTCCAACACTTTGTTTACATGTTATGGATTCATTCCTAACATATGGTTCATGTATTTATCTTACCTTAGGATGATTTTAATTTAAGTACCTACAATCACATTCAAATTATACATTTTGACTCATTAAAACTCAAGATTTAATGTGTAATTAAGCATAGAGTTAAAGTTTCATCATGTGTGCTGGGGTAGGCAATAGTTATGTGTTGAGGAGGCCTTGGCCCCCCTAAAATTTTTAAATCCCTTGGCATATATATTATAATGAAATTAAATGGTTCCTTCAAACTAAGATTATTAATTTTATTTATTTTTATGTGATCTCATTATTTAATTTTATTCATTATAATTTAAGATGTATTAAAATCATATTACTATTTATTTATTTATTATACCAATCAATTATTACTTATAAATCTTTAAAATCTCCAATCAAGTACTAAACAATTTTTTTTTTTTTTACTTTTTAGTTGATTACAATTCCTCCCATGTAATTTTTCATTTTTAATTTTACCTTAAAATTTTTTCTCTTGCTATCAAGCAAAATTTTTCAAACACAAAAGTCATATTGATACCGCTTCATAAAAGGTTAGAGAAACACCTTACTTCTAATCTCAAAGTTTCAAAGTTTATTCATTTAACGATATATTTTATTTTTCTTGTTTTAACAAAAAATATATACTATTTAATAATGGATTTATTTATACTTTTTGTAAAAGAAAATTGCTTACAATTTTAAGCAAAGTTATTTATTCAATATATTTTGTTTCTTTATACATAAGTTTATTATTAATCAATAAAATTTATAATTTTGAAAA